TTCAAATTGTTATCATCATATATACCGGGTAATACTGAGAATGGATTATACAGAGAAACATATATGCTCAAAGAAATACAGAAATGCGCCCCTATGTATGTATGTACGTACGCATGTAGAAAATATGTGTGTATTTTCTGTCTGCAAAAAGTTTCAGAAATAGGTACAAAGAATATGTGGGCATTAACAAAGGAAATGGTGCCCAAGGCAAGATTTAAAGCAACGGTTTTAGGCTCTGGGGGAGCAGTGGTTAGAATGAAGTATTAAAGGCTATCACCGCTCAGTGCCAGGAATTATTTGACTAGCTCAGCCTTCTGTAGAGACATAATAATAGTAGTCTCAGTATAATTGGTTTGACTTGCTGTTTTGCTTCTGTAAGAATTGCTTTGCTAAGAATCGGAATTGCCAGTGATCTAACTTGTTTTTTTGTGCACCTTGGTGCATGGAATGGAATATGTCATAGTTTGCCAGGATTACACCAGGCAAATACCTTTGTTGCTAAGCACCCAGCCCTTCTGATTTAAGCACCCCCCCCCGTTCCTTGCTGCACAGCCAATGCAGGGCTACAAGGAAAACATGGGCCAGAGGGGCCAGAATTGGGTACTAACCTTATTCCTTTGAAGGTATAAAACGTGCCATACCTTTCCCAAGGTGTGGCTATTCCTCACATGCATTGTATCTGTATGTTCTGGATATAGCTTCATTCAGTATTTTGTTTTTGGCCCTAAATAGCCAATAGCCTCCCACCGGCCAGTACGCTCCCACAGAGAGGGCCTCCTCAGGGTGCTGTCGGCCAGACAGTGTCGGCTGGCGACCCCCAGGGGGAGAGCCTTCTCTGTGGCGGCACCTGCCCTCTGGAACAACCTACCCCCAGAGATACGCATAATACCAGACCTCCAGACTTTTCGTCGGGCCCTGAAAACACATCTATTCCATCTAGCCGGGCTGGCTTGACCCCATCCTTACGGTTTTAAATTTATAATTGGTTTTAATTGGGTTATTTTAAATTGATGGCCAAAAGTATTTAATGTTTTTTAAATTGTTTTTAAATTTTATATGTTGTGTTTTTACCGTGGCTGTTCACCGCCCTGAGTCCTATTGGAGAAGGGCGGTATACAAATTAAATAAATAAAATAAAAATAAAATCTGCTTCTTTTTTGCAAGCCTTGTCTTGAGTCTCTCTCTCTTTGGCATTCTAGTGACTCAAGTACATTTTGGGACCTTACACTTCCATTCATTCAAGGTCAGTAAAATGAGGACCCAGATTGTTGGGGGCCATAGGCTGACTCTGTAAACTGTTTAGAGAGGGCTGTAAAAGCACTGTGAAGCGGTATGTAAGTCTAATATGCCAATAAAAACTCAAATCATCCAACCAAAAGTATCTATAAAAAGATTAAATCGTAGCCACTGGACCAAAGATGCTTCATCTGAGATGTTTGGCTTCCCATCCAAGAAATAAAATCATCATCACTCAAAATAAAAGAGTTTAAGTTAGGCAGAGACTCAAAGAGTGGTTGGAATCTACCAACTGCAGGGCTCTCTCTCCAAAATGTATTGCAATAAGTTTACCTACTGCTGGATAAAACGAGCCCGACTTGCTCCCGGCTTCTCCTCCGACTCACCTTCCAGGAGCCGCTTCGCCACTTCAAGCAGGTGGGAAAACAGGCTTCCCTGTGCTTCTCTCCTCCTAATTCCCTCTAGCAATCCACGACTCTGTGGTCTCAATTCCTTTCAGTTCGGCTACAGGCGCTTTGCTACTGTATTTGCGACTCTCCAGGCGTGCTTTGTTGCCTAATCATAGAGCGCCATCTAGCGACCCATGGCCAGATCATCCTATCTCTAGCTGCATAAGATTAGCCGGGTGCTGGCTGGGTCCTAAAAAGTTCACGAAGTTCTTGTTTTTTAAATGATTGACAGCCTGCCATCTTCATCTTATTCCTAGAATACTGCGGGACAACACCTGGTATTGTCTACCTACGTTGTTTCCAAATTCATCTAGATAGGAGATACTATCATGTATTATTGGTCTTCCTTGTACCAATAATTATTGGTATTATTGTATTATTGGGGAGTGCAGCCTTCCCAATTTCCACATTACTTTCAGCCTTGAGAATTCCCAGGCTGCTTGGGCAAAACACTTGGAGACCAGAGCCTTGGTAGTACTGGGGTTTAAGGCACCCTGTTATTAAGCTTATTAAGTTTAAGCTTATTAAGACCAGCTGCCTGCAATTACTGCAGGGTTCGAATCTCGCCAAGGCTCAAGGTTGACTCAGCCTTCCATCCTTTCTAAGGTAGGTGAAATGAGGACCCAGTTTGTGGGGGCAATAAGCTGACTTTGTATAAATATACAAAAGGATGAAGGCTATTGCTTAACGCATTGTAAGCCGCCCTGAGTCTTCGGAGAAGGGCGGCATATAAATCAAATTAAAAAAACAAAAAAACAAAAACCATTACTTCGCAGATTGGAAGCTGATCTAAAGATTCCAGCACTTTGGCAGGGTTTGGCTGTCACTGGAGATCAAAAACTCTCTACATCCTAACATTTTTATTACTGATTTACTTCAGAGACAGTTGTGGCTGTTCCTGGATCTGCAGGCCCTGGTTACGGTCAATCATGCCCTAGTTACTTGCATACAGGTAGTCCTGGATTTACAACCACGATTGAGCCCAAAATATATGTTGCTAAGTGAGAAATTTGTGTTAGATGAGTTTTGCCCCATTTTACGACTTTTCTTGCCATATTTGTTAAGCGAATCACTGCAGTTGATAAGTTAGTAACACGGTTGCTAAATGAATCTGTCATCCCCATTGACTTTGCTTGTCAGATCACAAAAGATGATCGTATGACCCTGGGACACTGCAACCGTCATAAACACGAACCAGTGGTCAAGCATCCAAATGTAAATCACATGACCATCAGTGTGGTGATATGGTCATAAGTGTGAAAAATGATCATAAGCCACTTTTTTCAGTGCTGTTCTAACTTCAAATGGTCACTAAATGAATTTTTATAAGTCAGGGACTACCTGTATTGGATGACGTTGATAACCTTTGCATGAGCTGCCCTTGAAGAGCATCCAAAAGTTTTAGCTGGTAGAGAATGCAATGGCTGGATAAGCTATGTGTGTTTCTGAAGCAGCACATGTCATGCCTCTGCTCCGTGAGCTGCCTTGGTTGCCAGTTTGCTTGCGGATCCGGTTCGAGGTGCTGGTTTTGCCTTTGAAAGCCCTTCCTGGCATGGGCCTGAGCTGACGTACCACCTTTCCCTGCTTATTTCAGCCTGTCCAATGATACCTGGCAAAGAAGACATGCGGCAGGGACCATCAACTGGGGATCTCCATTTGGTGGGTCTGAGGAAACGTGCCTTCTCTGCTGTGGCCCCCACCTTATGGAATATCCTCTCCCCTGAAATGAGATTAATTCCACCCTTTTTGAGCTTCTGGAAGGCTCTCAAGACATGGCTTCATCCTCAGGCCTGGGGCTCTTAAGATATGAGATATTCTCAGATGGTTCCATTGCTGAGCTGGCTGTTTCCATCCATTTCATTGCCTGGGGGACTTATAGAGTTACTTATTTCTTAGCGTAGATTTTTATGTATGTCGTTGATATGGCTGTGGTTTTTAATCTCATTGTTATACATCGCCCAATATTGCTTTTGGGGGCAGGCTGGGAGTATAGAAATTTCATTTATGAATAAATAATAAAAATGTAAGTTTTTGAGGAGGACTTTAGAATGGCTAAATTGAAGGAGAATAAAGGAGGGTTGCAAATAAATAAAGTGGGATTTGAATTGGGGGGTGGAATTGGAAGGGGAAATCAGGGTCAGATAACAAATACCTTATCAGTTAACAATAATAATGGATTAAATCCCTATTGTGTTTCTTTACCCCTACTGTGATCCCTATTTGCAGCTTTTACTTTCCCCAATTTTAATTTTACACTTTCCTCTCGACTTACGGGGAAAAGTGGGGGGAGGGAGAAAGCTTTTCATTTAATTACAAAAGGAAACACATAGAATGCAGAGTATATTCTGAATCGAACTGATGTATTTTAACTGTATAAATATGGAGAGACGTTCAAGAACAGGATGAGATCAAGAGAGTGGTGGGGCCGAGTAGGGTTTATGTATCTGTATCTTCTAACAGAAAAGTCATGACTGCAGTTTAAGTTAATGAAATGACACCGTCCATATCCAAATGGATGAGACACGAGAGCAAGCAATAGCCAGAAATAGGAGACTGATAAATATTGAGGGAAAGAACTAAGGCGGGGGGAATGGCTTTGCATGGCAATTTAGTATGTCCAAGAAGGAATGTGGAGTGGAAATGTATATCAAGTGAAATCAAAAGACAAAAGTAGAATATCCCACCAAAGCCAGTTAATCACCAGGCTGACTTTTTAAAGGGACACCTTAAACTTCCATTTTCAATGCAGATCTAAAGTACGGACGGTGATAGTGGCCATTTCAGCGATTGGCTCTGAGCTCTGTAGCATGGAGGAATCTGGAATAAAATAAACCCAACATATGCGACCAATTTTTTGATCTTTTTAACCTTATAGTTTTATACTGCTACTTATGACATTGTACTAATCAGATATGAGGCATATACATTTAATAAATTAAAATTAATACATTTTATTGATTCCCTTTTTATTCAGAAACTCAAGACGACATAGAAAGCAGTTCCTGGCTGGCATCCTGAGCCAAGAAAGAGGCTGTTTTCTCATTTTAAACTCCCTTTGCCAGCCAACCGATCTGCACGGGGATATTTTCAACCTCTGAATTGGCATCTCAAATTGGGATTTCATAGCACCTGGCAGCCACATTCCTGCTTAATCTAACACTGGAACTCATGGCTTCCATTCAGTGTTTTTGACTCTTGCACTGGATTTTTTAATGTAATTTATATTAATAATTTTAAACAGATGATTAAAAACACGATCGACTACAGCAAAGAGAAGAAAAAAGAAATTAAAAGTGTAAAAAAGAAAAAGAGAAATAGAGAGAAGTTACTTCCTTTACAGTAATTATATTTTGTTTAAAGGAATTACTTCCTTTACAGTGATATTAGAAATACAAAATTACTTGTTACAAAAACTCTCTTTTCTATTACCTGGTTGGTTTTTTTATAATCAAAACTGTACATGATTTCGTTTTTTTTATTAACACAGATGTCTAACAAACTTCCAATCAGTAATGAACATACAGACTGTCTTTTCTTTGATTGAGGAAATCAATATAGTTGTCTCAGAAAATTCCATCATCTTCACCAACCATTCCTCCACTGCTGTTAAATCTGAATCTTTGGTGTATATAATAGTAGGTAATCTTCAACTTACCACAATGGGAATCGAAATTTTGATACTAGGACAGGGGTCCCCAAACACTGGACCGCACAAATGGCAGGCAATTATGCACATATTTGTGCATCTCCAGTTGCACAAGAGGCAAGGAAGTTCAGAAAGTGCTTGAACCTCCCAACTCAGATCCCCTCATGTTCAATATTAAGATATATTTAATTAAAAAGAATGAGGCAAGACAATAAAATAGTTAATTCCTCAGATGAGCTTGCAATAAGATGAGAAATGAAATTCAAGAATCCTCTAAACACGTCAAATTTTGTCTCGTGTGGAATTTCTTGTGTGTGATAAAGGAGGAATTTTGTGTGAAACACTGTCCGCAATCTGGGCATTTGAATGGTTTCTCCCCTGTGTGTAACCTTACATGATTTATGAGGCTAGACTGAGTACTGAAATCTTTCCCACAATCCGGACACTCATATGGTTTCTCCCCGGTGTGAGTCCTCCAATGTATTACCAAATCGGAATTCCGAATGAAACTTTTCCCACACTCCAGACACTCAAATGGTTTTTCTCCTGTGTGAGTTCTCTGGTGAATCACCAGGGCAGAATTCCAATGGAAACTCTTACCACACTCTAGACACTGGTATGGTTTGTCCCCGGTGTGAGTTCTCTGGTGTACCACAAGATTAGAATTACGATAGAAACCTTTCCCACAATCAGGACACTCGTATGGTTTTTCTCCTGTGTGAGTTCTCTGGTGTTCCACCAGGTGGGAATTCCGACTGAAACTTTTCCCACAATCCAGGCACTCATACGGTTTTTCTCCTGTATGGATCCTCTGGTGTATCACTAGATCTGAATTCCAATTGAAACCTTTCCCACAATCTGGACACTCATATGGTTTATCTCCGGTATGAGCCTTCTGATGGATTAGCAGGTTGGAATTCCTACTAAAAGCTTTTCCACAATCTGGACACTCATATGGTTTTTCTCCTGTGTGAGTCCTCTGGTGTAACAGTAGGGTGGAATTTTCCTTGAAACTTTTCCCACAATCCAGACATTCATATGGTTTCTCACCTGTGTGTGTCCTCTGGTGTATCACCAGCTTGGAATTCTGTTGGAAACTTTTCCCACAATCTGGACACTCAAATGGTTTCTCTCCTGTGTGAGTCCTTTGGTGCATCACAAGGTTGGCATTCTGACTGAAACTTTTCCCACAATACAGACACTCATATGGTTTCTCTCCTGTGTGAGTCCTCTGGTGTATTACCAGGTTGGCATTCTGACTGAAGTTTTTCCCACAATACAGACACTCAAATGGTTTATCTCCTGTATGAATCCTCTGGTGTATCGCCAGATTGAAATTCTTACTGAAGCGTTTCCCACACTCGAGACACACATATGGTTTCTCTCCTGTGTGAGTCCTCTGGTGTATCACCAGGTCAGAATTCTGAGTGAAACATTTCCCACAATCAGGACAATGAAAGGGTTTCTCCCCAGTATGAGTCTTCTTATGTCTCACCAGACTGGTGTGTGTACTAAACCTTTTGCCACATTGGGAGCACTGGTAGAATTCCTCTCCAGTAGGGGTGCTTCCATGAGGAAGTTGTTCTGAGTAAAGCGTTTGCCACATTCCAAGCATTTTTGCTTTTTTTTTTTGTGGTATGGATCCTCTCTTGCATAAATCACCTGTGATCAGCAATCTGTATTTCCCCACACAACAGATAGACTGTCGGGTTTTTCCAACACTGATAATCTTGGATTCTTCAGGAGGTAAAAAATATTTCTAATCTCTAACTGGTGGTGCTTTGATTCAAACTCCTCTTGAATCTAGGGTGCTCTTCTTGACATTCTCTGTCTACACGATTCATATTAATGGATTAGTTTCATTGTGGTTTAAAAAAATAGCTGCAGAACCTGTGAAAACAGAAAAAAAACCCTGTATATATTACTATGAAAAAGCAAGCATATAAAAATGCTAGTTTAGTAACCAATATATTGGACTAAAATACACACATGGCTGGAAAAAACATGCTGCGCTGGTAGGAAGAGTTGTGGATGGGGGGCAACGTGTTACGGTGGTTCTCCTTTCTCTCGGACCGGTCGCAGTTTGTGTTGGCAGGGGGGCAGAGGTTGACCTCAAGACGCCTCATATGTGGGGTGCCTCAGGAGTCGGTTCTCTCGCCCCTTTTGTTCAACATCTATGTGAAGCCACTGGGTGAGATCATCCGTGGCTTCAGGGTGAAGTACCACCAGTACACTGACGATACCCAGCTGTACATCTCCACCCTGGGCCACCCCAATGATGCCCTTGATGTGATGTCCCGGTGCCTGGAGGCTGTGCGGATCTGGATGGGGAGGAACAGGCTCCGGCCTCAACCCATCCAAGACTGAGTGGCTGTGGTTTCCGGCATCCCGATATAGTCAGCTGGTGCCATCGCTGACTATTGGGGGTGAATCATTGGCCCCCACGGATAGGGCTCGCAACTTGGGCGTCCTCCTGGATTCACGGCTGTCTTTAGATGAGCATTTGACGGCCGTGACCGGGAGGATTTTTCATCAGGTTCGCCTGATCTGCCAGTTGCGTCCCTTTCTAGATCGGGACTCCCTACGCACAGTCACTCATGCCCTCGTTACCTCTCATCTGGACTATTGCAACGCTCTCTACATGGGGCTCCCCTCGAGTTGCACTCGGAGGCTCCAACTGGCGCAGAATTCGGCCGCGCGGGTGGTTATGGGAGCCACATGGAGTTCCCATGTAACACCTCTCCTGCGCGAGCTGCACTGGCTCCCGGTGGTCTTCCGAGTGCGCTTCAAGGTTCTGGTTATCACCTTTAAAGCGCTCCATGGCTTAGGACCTGGTTATTTACGGGACCGCCTGCTACCACCAATAGCCTCCCACCGGTCAGTACGCTCCCACAGAGAGGGCCTCCTCAGGGTGCCATCGGCCAAACAATGTAGACTGGTGGCCCCCAGGGGGAGGGCCTTCTCTGTGGAGGCACCTGCCCCCTGGAATCAACTGCCCCCAGAGATGCGAAAAATTCAAGACCTCGGTGCCTTCTGCCATGCCCTGAAGACCTTTCTTTTTCAGCAAGCCGGGCTGGCTTAACACTTTTTTTAAAATGTTTTCAATAGTTTTGTTATTTGTTCTTTTAATTTTGGGGCTAAACATATATATATCTTTTTAAATTGGTTTTAATGTTTGTATTTATGTTTTTATTTTGGCTGTACACCACCTTGAGTCCTTCGGGAGAAGGGAGGTATATAAATTTGAAAAATAAATAAATAAAATAAATAAATAAAACTACATATAGACCTGAAACCAGAGATATTTTTGTTAGGCATTCTACTAGAAAAAAGTTTGCACATTTGATTCTGCATATACTAACGGCAACTAGAATTGTATTTGCGCAACAATGGAAAAGTGATGAGATCCCCTCTGAGGAGAATGTAATTAAAAAAATATTAGACTATGCAGAAATGAATAGATTAACATTTGCTATTAAGGATTAAGAAGAAACTGAATATTTTTTGATATGGGACGCATTTCATCAATGGCTAGATAACAGAAACAGAAGTTAGAAAGGAGGAGATATAAAGGGAGGAAATGGTATAGAGAAGAGTCGTTAAAGATGTTAAATGTTAAGTATTACGGTTATTAAATTATGTTATTATATTATAAATATGATGACTAAATATAATGATGTATAAATATAAATAATTATATCCAGAATATGCAGTTTGATGAAAATTGAATATTATATAAATAAAACAAAATATAAAAAAAAATACTAGTTTAATCTATAACATTAATTACAACACATTTGGCATACAGAAAACTAGCAAGATCCAAGTTCAAATATCCATTCATAGATACAATGAAATTCAATGAAAGGCTCAAGGTTGACTCAGCCTTCCATCCTTTCTAAGGTAGGTTAAATGAAGACCCAGTTTGTGGGGGCAATAAGCTGACTTTGTATTAATATACAAAAGTATAAAGGCTATTGCTTAACGCATTGTAAGCCACCCTGAGTCTCCGGAGAAGGGCGGCATATAAATCAAATTAAAAAAAAAAAAATCAAATGTTTGGCTTAGGCAAATCATTTAGCATTGTAAATTGATTATAAAATTTACCTGAAAATGCTGAAGATTATACCATATACGTATGTGCACACAGAAATTTACACATCTATGAATTCATGTATGAAGAAAATGTATGTGTATTCCTCTGTACAACAAGTCCCAGAAATAGATTCCCTCAGATTTTTTGATCTAATTTTTAAAAAGGTGCAGTCGTTAACAGACGAAATGGTATCCAACATCTCTGCAGATTTAAAACACTGGCAAGCAAGGAGTTCATGAAACTCCTTGCTTGTCAGGAAAACAACATGTCCAGAAAATGAATCAACATGCCATAAAAGGAATCAAGTGTTACGTGAAGGTGAGGGAGATGCGTGGTTAAAAAATATGAAATATATATAAAGATTTCTTTAAATTTACCAATTTACCCCCATTGGAAAAATCACAGCCACCAATTTGAAATCATGCAGCAAAAGGATGAAAACATTTGGGGAGAGAAAGAACATGAAGCAGCAGCAGCAGCAGACAAGTGTTTCAGCCTCGTTGCTTCCTCCGCTTCATACCCCGTGGAGGAACCCAAAGGGCCCCACTTGCTCCCGGCTTCTCCTCCGACCTTCCCTCCACTCACCTCCCAGGAGCCGCTTCCACCCTCCAAGCAGAGCAAGAGGCTCCATTATCCTCCCGTGGGTCAGCTGGAAGAGGAAGCCCCTCTGCCCTTCCCCTCCTCTCCTCCACATCCGCTCTAGCAATCCACTGTTCTATCGTTTCAACGCCTTCCAGCTCAAGCCTCTTACCCCCCCACCCCCACCCCCACCCCCACCCCCCACTAGACTAGCAATGGCACTACTGTAATGTATTCACTGCTTTCTAGGCACGAGTATTGCTTCTCTGTAGAGCGCCATCTAGTGACATAAGGCTGAAAAACACGCTCGTTCCATTTCGTTTGCAAGATGTTTTCATGGGTTCCGCGCTTCCTTCTGTGCCATCAAGTCGTATCCGACTCCCCCCCCCCCCCGAGCACGTCGATAGCTTTTCTCTATGGCCATCTATCCCACGCCTTTTCTTTCAGGTGCCCCAGGAGTGCACTCCTCCCCCCTGGAGCAACTAAACCAAAGGAAGGGGCCCTTGTGGGGAACGACCTGCAAACAGGGACTGAGAAAGTGCACCTCCTGTGGGGCCGGGTGAAGATTCTTCCAGCCAGTTTTTCGATTGGCAAATCTGAGCCCTAAATCATTTCCAGCTTCATCCTATTAATAGAATAATGAAATATGAGACAAAAACTTTGAAGTGCCCACCCACATTGCTTCTAAACCAGATCTAGGTAGAAGATAGTATCTTCCTATCTATACTATATTATTAGTATAGTATGGTATTAGTATAGTATAAGTAAAGTATAAGTATTTGTATTGTATTGTATTGTATTGTTTTGTAGTATTGCCTAGAATTCTAGATGATATAATTTTGGAACCATGGAATGTAATCTTTGAAAGTTTATGTAAAACAGGAGAAATACCAGAGTATTGGAAAAGAACTGATGCGATTCCAAACTACAAAAACTGGGGAAATGATCTAGGAAATTATAGGCCAATCAGTTTGACATCAATATCAGGAAAAACTTGGACAAAATATAATCAAGCAGAGAATATTTGAGCACCTATAAACAAGCAAGGTGACTACTAGAAGCCAGCATGGGTTTGTTAGAAACAGGTTTTGCCAAACAAACCTTATTGCTTTTTTTTAATTTAAGCAATTAAATTACCAGATCAGCAAACGCTGTGCAGATCTTGTATTTCACCAAGCCATTAGACAAATCTTTATGGAAAATGAAAGGTGTAAAAATGAAGGCAGAGAGATTGAGAGCAATTCAGTGCTTGTAGTCAGACATGGAATTTGAAAAAAAAAAAATCAAAAATTGGAAAGAATAGAATACAGTTCTATATTGGCCAAGTGAGCTTTGGACACACAAGGAAATGGTCTCTAGTACATACGCTTTCAGTGTACATACAAATTGATAGTCATTCATCATAAGGCAATCATAAATCATAAGATAAAAAAATTGATCACATAATATACTGATAGGAAAATGTAGTAGGAAACATGAGGAGGATAAGATGAGGAGGAGGATAATAGCAATACAGCTTAACCAATGGGTAAATATCTGTGGGCAGAAGGGAGTGGTGTTGGAGCCCCTTTTAGTAGAGTGATAGCATGAGGGAAGAAAGTATCTTTGTGTCTAGTTGTTTTGGTGTCCTGAGGGGAAGATGTTGAAAGAAGCAAGATTGGCTAGATAGAATTCTAAACAGAAACTCTCTAAGCGACATTTCATGCCAATAGTTCAAGCCTATTTGGAGACCAGCTCTTCAGATATTTAATTTAAAAGCTGGAACTGTGAATTGAACAGTAGACCAGAACACCCAGTGATAGTTGATTGGTTGAAGAGTGTGGGCTCCCGCATGAGGCAGTCTACATTATGATTGGTTGCTGGGTGTAAAGGGGGCCTTTCCCTTTTTCCCCGCCTTTTTCTTCTGTGTGCTCTGTATGCTGTTCTGAGATTTACCTAACGATTTACCTCAGGATGTTGCGATGTGTCTACCTTGTTTGCTCTATAGATATTAAATAATTTATATAAAACTACCATCAGTGTCTCTGTCTTAATTTGGATACCAGCTGCATAATTCCCTAATACCAACCAACCTGGCTATTGGGCAGAGTCCAGTCTGTTCCCCAAAATGCAGGGCTTGCAGTTATTAGAGATCCCAAATCTGTCAATTAACCCAGAATTCTTTTATCATCTTCTCTGTCGTTTAATGACCCCGCAATGTATCCCTTGCGGGGTGGAGTCTGGGCAACTGAATGGAGCTGAGTGTTTACTGGCCAGATGCCTTTCCTGTCACCAATGCAGAGTTTGCAGCAGATATAGTCCCATTGTGTACAGAGAGAAATATCTGCCTCTACCTAGGATCAAAGTCACAGCCTCCTGATTGTGAGGTGAGAGCTCCACCGCACCAGTCACCTGGAATTCTTTTATCTTTTTTCATATTTCACAGGATAACCCATTCTCATTTTGGAAAGCCAGATAAGAGATATTTTACTTCCATGACTTGAAGGAGGTACATTATACAAAACCAAGAACCAGGATGGTGTGATTTGAGAAGCACACGATTTGACTTACACTAAGGAGATTCAATTCTGAACTGCGGGTCCATAATGAGCAAGTAGGATTTACCCTTCTCTCTCTTTTGACAAAAGTGTTATGAAAAAAAAAACAGTTAATGAAAAAAAAAAGTATGATGTATGATTAAATTGTTCCAGAAAATAAGATATGCAAAGTTCAAGAAATCTGGAAGATGAGCAAATGCAAAATAAATCAAAACCCTGGAGAACAAGAATTATACTGCAGCGGAACAGACAACCAATATTATTTAGACTTTTCTTTGAGAAAGACGTTTCTAGAAATCTTTAAAACATAAGTCATTAAAAAGTATCCACATCTGTATATTATTTATATTTTACATGAAATGAAGGCATTAAAACTTATATATTTTCAAACCACCACAAAATAATACTTTATATGCATCCTAAGTATATTCACATTTATTTAGTTATTAAATTTGTATGCCATCCATCTCACAGTCTGAAGTAACTAAGTTCATCAATTAACTACAGCAAATAGTCCAGGCTGAGGGGCAATTAGAGCCTATCATGACAAAATTAATGACTCTCATGAAATAATGTATCTTTAGAAATATTACTGCAGAATATTAGTATCCAGGCCGGGCAAGGCAAGTGTTCTTATTACAGGTAGTCTTCAACTTACAACCACAATTGAGCCCAAAATTTCTGTTGCTAAGCGAGACAGTTGTTAAGTGAGTTTTGTCCCATTTTATAACCTTTCTTGCCACATTTGTTAACTGAATCACTGCAGCTGTTAAATTAGTAACACTGTTAAGTGAATCTGGCTTCCCCATTGATTTCGCTTGTCAGAAGATCGCAAAAGGGGATCCCATGACCCCAGGACATTGCAACCATCAGTTGCCAAGCATCTGAATGTTGATGCTGCAATGGTCCTACTGTTAAGTATGAAAAAGGGTCATAAGTCACTTTTTTCAGTGATGTTGTAACTTTGAATGATCACTGAATGAATGGTTGTAAGACAAGGACTACCAGTATCTTGGAATAGTTATTGCCTTTCCAATAGTACATTCTAACCACTGTGCCTCCAGGACAATCCAGTAACTCATCCTGTGTGAATCCTCTGGTGTCTCACCAGGTCAGAATTCCAACTGAAAGCTTTACCACAATCTGGACACTCATATGGTTTCTCTCCTGTGTGAGTACTTTGATGTTTCACAAGGTTACAATTATGATTGAAACTTTTCCCACAAACTGGACATTCATATGGTTTCTCTCCTGTGTGAGTCCTCTGGTGTTGCACAAGGCTGGAATTATATCTGAAACTTTTCCAACAAACTGGACACTTGTATGGTTTCTCTCCGGTGTGAGTCCTCTGGTGCATGATTAGGGTAGAATTCTGACTGAAACATTTCCCACAATTTGGACACTCATAGGGTTTCTCTCCTGTGTGGGTTCTCATGTGTGTTACCAGGGCAGATTTAAGACTGAAATGTTTCTGACAATGTGGACATTCATATGGTTTCTCTCCTGTGTGAGTCCTCTGGTGTATCACCAGGTTGGAATTTCGACTGAAACTTTTCCCACAGTCTGGACACTCATATGGTTTCTGTCCTGTGTGAGTCTTCTGGTGTACCACCAGGTTGGAATTCTGCTGGAAACATTTATCACAATCTGGACACTTATACGGTTTCTCTCCTGTGTGAGTTCTCTGGTGTATCACCAGATGGGCATTCTGACTGAAACTTTTCCCACAATCTGGACACTGATATGGTTTTTCTCCTGTGTGAGTTCTCTGGTGTATCACCAGCTTGGAATTCCGAGTGAATGTTTTCCCACAATTTGGACACTGATACAGTTTCTCTCCTGTATGAATTGTCTGGTGTTTCACAAAGTCGGAATTATGACTGAAACTTTTCCCACAATCTGGGCACTCATATGGTTTCTCTCCTGCGTGAGTCCTCTGGTGTATAACAAGGTTGGAATTCTTACTGAAACATTTCCCACAATCCGAACATTCATATGGTTTCTCTCCTGTGTGAGTTCTTTGGTGTATCACCAAGTTGGAATTCTTACTGAAACATTTCCCACAATCTGAACATTCATATGGTTTCTCTCCTGTGTGAGTCCTCTGGTGTATAACCAGGTTGGAATTCTGCTGGAAACGTTTCCCACAATCTGGACACTCATATGGTTTCTCGCCTGTGTGAGTCCTCTGGTGGATCACCAGGCAAGAGTTCTGACGGAAGCTTTTCCCACAGTATAGACACTCATATGGTTTCTCTCCTGTGTGAGTCCTCTGGTGTTTCACAAGGTTAGAATTATTATTGAAACTTTTCCCACAATCTGCACACTCATATGGTTTCTCCCCAGTGTGAGTTCTCTGGTGTATAACCAAGTAGGAATTATGACTAAAGCTTTTCCCACAATCTGGACACTCATATGGTTTCTCTCCTGTGTGAGTCCTTTGGTGTATCACCAGGTTGGAATTCTTACTGAAACATTTCCCACAATCTGAACATTCATATGGTTTCTCTCCTGTGTGAGTTCTCTGGTGTATCACCAGGTTGGAATTCTGCTGGAAACTTTTCCCACAATCCGAACACTCATATGGTTTCTCACCCGTGTGAGTTCTCTGGTGTATCACCAGGTTGGAATTCTGACTGAAACTTTTCCCGCACTCTGGACACTCATATGGTTTCTCTCCGGTGTGTGTCCTCTTGTGTATCAGCAGGTTGGCATGCTTACTAAACTTTTTGCTACACTGTGGGCACTGGTAGGGCTTTTCTCCAGTATGGGTTATTTTATGCTCAATAAGTTGGGAAGTGTAGCGAAAGACTTTGCCGCATTCAGAGCATTTGTATGGTTTTTCACCAGTGTGATGCATAATCAGCTCTGATTTGCAATCTGTGCTTTTCCCGCCATATGCATATCTGTGGAGTTTTTCCGCCACTGATAGTCTTAGATTCTTGAGGAGGTCAAAAATATTTGTGAACTCCTCTTCACAAATATCTTGTCTTCAAGCTGTTTGTTTCCTCACAGGGTGAGGCCTGCATTCTTGTCTGGAATGAGTGCTTCCTCCCCACAGACTTCTAGATATTTCCTCTTTTTCTGAATCTGGAAATGTTCCACATTTATTTTTTTATGTATTGATTCCTTGAGTTCCACATACAATAATTGTTTATCAGTGCAAAACACTTCCTATTTTTTTTCTCTTTTCTCTGGCTGGGGAAAGAGAAGAGTTTTCTTGTATTCTGGAGGAAAGGGAAAAGACGTTGTTTACCAGATGTTCCAGATTCACTTTCCTTCTTAAAGCTGCTTCTTATTCTCTATCATCCAGAAGCCTCTTTTTGGCATTCCCTTTGCCTATAAGATTCACATAAAAGAGATACTTTAATTACTCTTTATAATATGGTTGCAAGATGTGAAAACAAGAAAAATAAGCATACATAACAATGAAAAAAGAAACATGCCAAAATACTAGATTAACCACTGCCATTCATTATGGCACAATCATGAAATTCTATTGCTGACGAGTGCAAATCACAAATTTTTAGCACTGCAAATTTTTATGATCATATAAGTTACCTGGAAATACTGAGAATAGGAACACGGATACACATGTATTCACCAAAATACAGAAACACACCCCTCTGTGTGTACCATATGTATATATGTAGAAAATACATGTATATTTTCTGTCTACAAAATGAAATAGGTACAGTATGTGAGCATTAACAGAAGGAACGCCTATACAGCTGAATGTTTAGGAAACAAACAGGGTGAATTTGAAGTATTAGTACATGAAGGCAGATATGATATAGTTGCCATTACTGAAACTTGGTGGGATGAAACTCATGACTGGAATGTCCTGATAGAGGGATACAAACTATTCAAGAGAAACAGACTTAACAAAAGAGGAGGTGGAGTTGCATTATATATAAAAGATCACTACATCGCTACAGAATTACGCAAAACCAAGGATGAAAACCTCCTAGATCTTCTTGCGCTGCGAGATTCCCCCCTCTTGCAGATGTGGCCCTCCTCACTATCGAGGACCCACCTCAAGGACGGGTTTTGGGACCCAGAGAGATGGCATGTGAAAACTAGGGGATTGAGGGGTTTTCTATTGAAATTTTTAGTCAAACTTTTAAGGGGTCCCAGGGAGGGGGAGGGTCAGATTGGAACTTGGGTGTGGGTATGGGGAATAACCCACAAGGGGGAGGGTCGGGTCTGGCCGTGAAGCACGGCGTGGGGGATGGAGGACCCGGGGTCGAGGGGGGGGTTAGAGCTCGTCCAGATAGTGCTCTGAAGATCAATACTGTAGGTGGGAGGGGTAGATATGGCGGGAGCAGGGGGCCATATCGTGTTAGGGGAGTGCGCACTCGCTGTCTACGAGCGGTGGCGTACTCCGGCCCCCAGGGCTCCACTCGCCCCCCAGGTTACATAGACTCTCAGGACCCGGGCTGATGCTGTGCAATGCCAGGTGCGTAGTAAACAAAGCCCCCTCATTTGTGATCTTGTTCAGGAGGGGGGTGCGGACCTGGCAGGTATTACGGAGACCTGGTTGGGCCAGGAGGGGGGGTTCCCCTCGTTGAAATGTGCCCCCCAGGTTTCCAAGCATTCCATCAGCCGAGGTCACAGGGGAGGGGCGGGGGAGGTAGCAGTTATCATTAAAGAAGGTCTGAGACCGAGGGAAGCCACTGTTCCTCAGACGACCGGCTGTGAATCCCTCCTTGTGAAATGGGGTCATGGTGTTCAGATGGGTTGGCTGATCACGTACCTGGCTCCCTGCCACGTGGCAACAGCCCTGCCCGAGCTACTCAACGTTGACACCCCCAGGCATATGGTCATGGGGGATTTCAACCTGCCGTCCGTGGGTGAGACGTCTGAGGTGGCTCGGGAGTTCATGGCTTCCATGACAGGTATGGACCTGACCCAGTTTATTCATGGCCCTACCCACACGGGGGGAAACACGCTGGATCTGGTTTTTGTCTCTGGACAGTGGTTGAGTGATCTTGAGATAGGGGATATAGTTACCGAGCCCTTGTCATGGTCAGATCACTCTCTCCTTCGTCTTGACCTTCGAACCGCTGCACCCCGCCGTAGGGAGGCGGAGCCAGTGAGATGGTTCCGTCCCAGGCGCCTGATGGAACCTGACAGATTCATTGGGCCTGTCCTGAGGCTCTGGCACACGCCTCGACTGGAGACCTAGTGGCCGCCTGGGATAGGGCGGCCGCTGGAGCTCTGGATCGAGTCGTGCCTTTGCGGCCTCTGACCCGGCGCCGATCTCGGTTCACCGAGGAGCTGAGGGAGTTGAAGCGCCAGAAAAGACGCCTAGAGAGTAGATGGAGGGCCAGTCTTTCTGAATCTGACCAGACACTAGTAAGATCCCATATTAGGAATTACCTAGTGGCAATAAAAGCAGCGAAATGTAGTTATTTTGCTGCTCTTATTGCATCATCAGATAACCGCCCGGCCGCCCTCTTTAGAGTGACCCGCTCCCTGCTCCACCAGGAAGCGCGGGAGGACCCCTTGGAGGGTAGAGCTGAGGATTTTGTTCAGTATCTGTATGACAAAATCACTCAGATTCGGGAAGATCTGGACTCCGACTGGGTAGTCTTAGGGGAAGGGACTGGGTCAGGTCTTGAGGTCACGTTGGTAGATGATCTCTGGAGGGCTCGGGACAGGGTGTGCTCCTCTGTCCTGGTCCTGTTAGATCTCTCAGCGGCTTTTGATACCATCGACCATGGTATCAAATATATGATATGATATGCGGGGTGCCACAAGAGTTGGTCCTCTCACCCCTCCTGTTCAACATTTGTGTGAAGCTGCTGGGCGAGATCATCTGTGGTTTCGGGGTGAAGTACCACCAGTACGCTGATGACACCCAGCTGTACATCTCCACCCCAGACCACCCCAACGATGCCCTTGAAGTGATGTCCCGGTGCCTGGAGGCCGTGCGGATCTGGATGGGGAGGAATAGGCTCAGGCTCAACCCATCCAAGACTGAGTGGCTGTGGTTTCCGATGTCCCAATATAGTCAGCTGGTGCCATCACTGACTATTGGGGGTGAATCATTGGCCCCCACGGAGAGGGCGTGTAATCTGGGAGTCCTCCTAGATACGCAGCTGTCCTTGGAGGAACATCTGATGGCTGTAGCCAGGGGGACCTTCTGTCAGGTTCGCCTGATTCGCCAGTTGCGGCCCTTTCTTGATCGGGATTCCCTGTGCACAGTCACTCATGCCCTCGTCACTTCTCGCCTGGACTACTGCAACGCTCTCTACATGGGGCTCCCCTTGAAGAGCACCCGGAGGCTCCAACTGGTCCAGAATGTGGCCGCGCAGGTAGTCACGGGAGCCGCATGGCGCTCCCATACAACACCTCTCCTGCGTGAGCTGCACTGGCTCCCAGTGGTCTTCCGGGTGCGCTTCAAGGTGTTGGTTATCACCTTTAAAGCGCTCAATGGCATAGGACCTAGTTATCTTCAAGACTGCCTGCTGCTACCGACGGCCTCCCATCGACCTGTGCGCTCCCACAGAGAGGGCCTCCTCGGTGTGCCATCAGCCAAACAATGTAGGCTGGTGACCCCCAGGGGGAGGGCCTTCTCTGTGGGGGCACCTACCATCGGGAATCAGCTACCCCCAGAGATAAAGAGAATCCAAGACCTCGGTGCCTTCCGCCGTGCCCTTAAAACCTTCTTTTTCCAGCAAGCTGGGCTGGCCTAACACTTTTTAAAATGTTTTTAATTGTTTGTTATTGTTTTTAATCATGGGGCCAAGTTTATATATATCTTTTTAATTGTATTTTAATGTTTGTAGTTTATGCTTTTACTTGGCTGTTCACCGCCCTGAGTCCTCAGGGAGAAGGGCGGTATACAAATTTAAAAATAAATAAATAAAATAAATATATGCATGCACTTCCACTTGCACGAGAGGCAAGGAAGCTAAGAAAGAGCTTGGACCTCCCAACTCAGATCCCCTCCCTCATGTTCAATATTAAGTAAGACATATTTGATTAAAAAGAATCAGGCAAGACATTAAAATAGTTAAATTTCTCAGTTGACCTTGCAATGAGATGAGAAATGAAATTCAAGAATCCACTACACACGTCAGTGAAACACTGTCCGCAATCTGGGCATTTGAATGGTTTCTCCCCTGTGTGTAACCTTACAGGAGTTATGAGGCTAGACTGAGCACTGAAATCTTTCCCACACTCCGGACACTCAAATGGTTTTTCTTCTGTGTGAGTTCTCTGGTGAATCACCAGGAAAACAACATGTCCAGAAAAAGAATCAACATGCCATAAAAGGAATCAAGTGTTACGTGAAGGTGAGGGAGATGCGTGGTTAAAAAATATGAAATATATATAAAGATTTCTTTAAATTTATCAATTTACCCCCATTGGAAAAATCACAGCCACCAGTTTGAAATCATGCAGCAAAAGGATGAAAACATTTGGGGAGAGAAAGAACATGAAGCAGCAGCAGCAGCAGACAAGTGTTTCAGCCTCGTTGCTTCCTCCGCTTCATACCCCGTGGAGGAACCCAAAGGGCCCCACTTGCTCCCGGCTTCTCCTCCGACCTTCCCTCCACTCACCTCCCAGGAGCCGCTTCCACCCTCCAAGCAGCACAAGAGGCTCCGCCGACGCCATTATCCTCCCGAGGGTCAGCTGGAAGAGGAAGCCCCTCTGCCCTTCGCCTCCTCTCCTCCACATCCGCTCTAGCAATCCACTGTTCTATCGTTTCAACGCCTTCCAGCTCAAGCCTCTTACCCCCCCCCCCCCAGTAAAGTAGCAATGGCACAACTGTAATGTATTCACTGCTTTCTAGGCACGAGTATTGCTTCTCTGTAGAGCGCCATCTAGTGACATAAGGCTGAAAAACACGCTCGTTCCATTTCCACTCTGAAGCGTTTGCAAGATGTTTTCATGGGTTCCGCGCTTCCTTCTGTGCCATCAAGTCGTATCCGACTCCCCCCGAGCACGTCGATAGCTTTTCTCTATGGCCATCTATCCCACGCCTTTTCTTTCAGGTGCCCCAGGAGTGCACTCCTCCCCCCTGGAGCTGAGCCCGAAGCTTCGTTTGCAATAAGCAGCAACTAAACCAAAGGAAGGTGCCCTTGTGGGGAACGACCTGCAAACAGGGACTGAGAAAGTGCACCTCCTGTGGGGCCGGGTGAAGATTTTTCCAGCCAGTTTTTCGATTGGCAAATCTGCAGCCCTAAATCATTTCCAGCTTCATCCTATTAATAGAATAATGAAATATGAGACAAAACCTTGAAGTGCCCACCCACATTGCTTCTAAACCAGATCTAGGTAGAAGATAGTATCTTCCTATCTAGAGCAAAGCAGAGCAGAATGGAATTTGTCTTTGGTCCATATGCTCTCAGTGTACATAAAAGGACAAGATATATTCATCAAGAATCATAAGGTACAACACTGAATGATAGTCATAGGGTATAATATAGGGCAGTGATGGCAAACCTTTTTCTCATTGAGTGCCAGAAGTGTGTGCGTGCCAGCACCCATAATCCAATGCGAACCCCCCCACCTGCACATGCACTCCGGGAGGCCCCGGGTGCCCTATTTTGAGCCTGGAAAGTTGTTATTCTGAGGCAGGGCTGTTTCCGAGGCAGGGCAACCAATTCTTGCTGTGTCTGTACGTGGCGGGCTTTCTGGTGAGCTGGCGAGGCTGCGCGGTTGCCACAGCGGCTTGTAAAGCTTGGGATGAGTCTGGGCTGCCAGGTCCGGAGCCAGCAGCAGCATCTTCCTGTCACTCAGCCCTTGCCTTGGGGTGACTTTTTCTGCATTCAGCCCTGAAGTGTAGCAGAGTCTTCTACTCTACATGTGCTCAGAGGCAGTCTGCAGTCTTCTGGATCCAAGTCTTGGCGTTGGAAGAAAAGGAAATTTCTGAAAGGAGCAGATTGATCGGGGGCAAGGGGGCAGCTGCGGTAAGGATGGGTGGGCCGAGCTTCCCTGTCTCCCTACCCGAGTGGGCTTCTGGCATAGACCCAGGCCTCTGGGGGGAGGGAGGTAGGGAAGCCCTGGCCTGCTGCTCCTGCCACCGCCACCCCTTCGCCCCCGGCAACAGGGGTTCTCGTGCTGCCGCTTCCCTGGCAGCACCAGGGGCAGATGGCGGGGCAGAGAGGGCAATGGCAGGCTGTGGCGGCAGGCCGTTTGCACTGGCTAAGAGACAGAGGCTGCTCCTAGAGCAGCCAGGGGAAGCCACTGGCAGGGAGGCGAGCTGCCCCAGGAGGACTGGAGGAGAGCGCAGTTCCTCACTCATGGAGGCCCACTGGCAGAAAAGCGGTCACAGAAAGTGGTAAGAGCCGTGCTGGCCAGGAAGCGGTCATGCTCCCTGGCACTTTACTGGCACGAACAGCCTGCCTGCCTCACGCTTCAGACAGCGTCCAGCCATATTGCCAGGGACGATGGGGTGGCAGCGCCAGGAGCAGCAGGCTGGGGCTTCAATGCCTTCCCCTGGAGTCCTGAGGCTGCCCCTGAAGCCCACTCGGGTTGGGGGACAGGGAAGCCCTGGACCACCCATCTTTGCCGCCACCCCCTCGCCCCCGGCGGTGGTTCTCGCGCTGCCACTTCCCTGACAGTGGCATGAGCAGCTGGTGGGGGAGAGAGGGCGGCGGCAGGTTGTGGCAGCAGGCCGTTTGCACCGGCTAAGAAGCAGTGGTGGCTCCTCCTGCTAGCCTCGCGCTCCAGAGGCATCTAGCCAGCCATAGCCGGCCTTCCCCTGCAGCAGCCCACGTGGATCCCAGGCAGCGCAGCTTTGGAGTCTTTCCTTGCAGTGGGAGTGGCGGGGACAAGGTAGGCAGACAGGCAACTGGGTGCAGGGGTGCGACTGGCCGCAGTGCTCCTAGCTGGCAAGGGATGGATATGCTTGGGCTGCATGGGGGTGACAACAGCATGGCCGGTGCACCCACAGGCTAAGACGTTAAGGCCAGCTGATCATCGCACGCGCATGTGCACCAGTAACCAGCAGACTAGCTGACTGGTGCACATACGTGCCCTGGAAACCCGGAAGAGGAATGGACAACGCAACGTGTGCCGGGTGACATGGCTCTGTGTGCCACTTCTGGCACGCGTACCATAGGTTCACGATCATGGGTATAGGGTATAACACAATGATAGTCATAGTATATTATTAGTTTTAGGATTAGTACTAATATTAGTATTAGTATTACTATAGTATATAGTATAGCACAGTACAGTACTGTACTGTACTGTATTGTTTTGTAGCATTGCCTAGAATTCTAGACAATATAATCTTGGAACCATGGAATGTAATCTTTGAAAGTTTATGTAAAACAGGAGAAATACCAGAATATTGGAAAAGAACTGATGCAATTCCAAACTACAAAAAGTGGGGAAATGATGTAGGAAATTATATGCCAATCAATTTGACATCAATATCTGGAAAAATCCTGGAAAAAATATAATCAAGCAGAGAATGTTTGAGCACCTATAAACAAGCAAGGTGATTACTAGAAGCCAGCATGGGTTTGTTAGAAACAGGTTTTGCCAAACAAACCTCATTACCCTTTTTTGATTTAAGCAATTAAATTACCATATCAGCAAGTGCTGTGCAGATGGTATACTTGGATTTCAGCAAGCCATTGGACAAATCTTTATGGAAAATGAAAGGTGAAAATGAAGGCGGAGAGATTCAGAGCAATTCAGTAATCAAAAATTGGAAAGAATAAAATACAATTCTTTATTGGCCAAGTGTGCTTTGGACACACAAGGAAATGGTCTCTGCTGCACACGCTTCAGTGTACATACAAAGTGATAGTCATACATTGTAAGGCAATTATAAATCATAAGATACAATAATTGATCACATAATATACTGGTAGGAGAAGGTAGTAGGAAACTTGAGGATAAGAAGAAGAGAATAATACCATACAGCCTACCACATGGGTAAATATATTTTGGCAGAAGGCAGTGGTGTTGGAGTTGGCTGTTTAGTAGAGTGGTGGCACAGGGGAAGAAACCATATTTTTGTCTAGTTGTTTTGGCAACCTGAGGGGAAGATGTTGAAATGGAATAACCAGTTTATTAAAGTGCATAATGGACCAGAACACCCAGTGACAGTTGATTGGTTGAAGAGTGTGCGATCCTGCATGAGGCAGTCTACATTATGATTGGTTGCTGGGTGTAAAGGGGGCCTTTCCCTTTTTTCCCCGCCTTTTTCTTCTGTGTGCTCTGTATGCTGTTCTGAGATTTACTTGACGATTTACCTCAGGATGTAGTGATGTGCCTACCTTGTTTGCTCTAAATACAGATATTAAATAATTTATATAAAACTACCGTCAGTGTCTCTGTCTTAATATGGATACCAGCTGTATAATTCCCTAATACCAACCAACTTGGCTATTGGGCAGAGTCCAGTCTGTTCCCCAAAATGCAGGGCTTGCAGTTATTAGCAATCTCAAATCTGTCAATTAACCCGGAATTCTTTTATCTATTTCTCTGTCATTTAATGACCTTGTAATGTATCTGTTCCGGGGTGGAGTCAAGGCAACTGAATGGAGCTGAGTGTTTACTGAGCAGATGCCCTTCCTGTCACCAATGCAGAGTTTGCAGCAGATATAGTCCCATTGTGTACAGAGAGAAATATCTGCCTCTACCTAGGATCGAACTCAAAGCCTCCTGATTGTGACAACCAACATTATTTAGACTTTTCTTTGAGGAAGACATTTCTAGAAATATTTAAAACACGGTCATTAAAAAGTATCCACATCTGTATATTATTTATATTTTACATGAAATGAAGACATTTCAAAATTTAATGAATATTGTAAATAATATTTAATATGCATTTGTGCATAAGTATATTCACATTTATTTACTTATTAAATTTGTATGCCATCCATCTCACAGTCCGAAGTAACTAAGTTCATCAATTAACTACAGCAAATAGTCCTGGCTGAGAGGCAATTAGGGTCTATAATGACAAAATTAATGACTCTCATGAAATAATGTATCTTTAGAAATATTAGTGCAGAATATTAGTATCCAGGCCGGGCAAGGCAAGTGTTCTTATTACAGGTAGTCTTCAACTGATAACCACAATTGAGCCCAAAATTTTTGTTGCTAAGCGAGACTGTTGTTAAGTGAGTTTTATCCCATTTTATGACCTTTCTTGCCACATTTGATAACTGAATCACTGCAGCTGTTAAATTAGTAACACAGTTGTTAAGTGAATCTGGCTTCCCCATTGATTTGGCTTGTCAGAAGGTCACAAAAGGGGATCCCATGACCCCAGGACATTGCAACCATCAGTTGCCAAGCATCTGAATGTTGATGCTGCAATGGTCCTAAGTACGAAAAAGAGTCATAAGTCACTTTTTTCAGTGATGTTGTAACTTTGAATGGTCACTAAATGAATGGTTGTAACTATCTTGGAATGGTTTCTGTCTCTGCTATACTACATTCTAACCTCTACGCCTCCAGGACTCCTACCTTTCTGTAATATATCAAATTGGATACAATAAGAATGGTTTGATGCCTTAGGAAAATTCTAATTATATATAGTTATATTCAGTTTCTTTCTTTGCTTTCAGAAAACTCTTGTTGAAATCCTAATTCTCATTTACTAATTCATTGAATTTTGCAAGCAAATCGTCTTGTGTCTGAGCATTTCTTCTGGTTGAGTCTCTCATGTCTAAATAAACTTGGATCTTGGACTGAAAATAATCCAGCAAACTGAAAACAAGCAATGTATACCCTTGCATTCCGTTCTGTCCGCCCTTGCAGTTTACTCATGCCGACCACATGATCTCGGAGACATCTTCAGGCAGCGCTGGCTCTTCGACTTAAAAACAGAGATGAGCACCACCCCCTAGAGTTGGGAATGACTAGCACATATGTGCAAGGGAACCTTTATCTTTGTGAACTCTTAAAGGTTTTCTAAGATCCCATCAAGCTTTCCTTCCAATCAGAAAGCTGATGGTTTTTCTCCTTTATGACTACTGGGCATCTGAATGGCTTTTGATCTGTGTGTAAACTGACATGATTTATTAGATTAGACCTACTTGTGAAAGCTTTCCCACAATTGGGACATTCAAAGGGCTCCTCTTTTGTAGTACCCTATTATTCCACCAGGTGGAAGTTCCAACTCAAACTTTTCC